TGGAGGCGGGTTTGACCGTTAAATTATACGGTCAAACTTGTTGACCGTTAGTCAATGTCCACCTCACCTGCCACGTCAGTTTTGAGGACATAAAAAATATTTTTCTTTATTTCTGAATTTTGTTTTCATGTTCCTTATGCTTATACTGAGATGGTATGTACTTGTGTGACTTCGCCGAGCTTCAGGGTTGCTTTTAATGGGGGGTTATGTGAGCCATTTAATGCAGCTAAGGGGGTGCGGCAAGGGGATCCCTTGTCCCCGTATCTGTTTGCCATTTCAATGGAGATTTTCTCGTGTTTGTTGCATAGGGCAGCTATTGATAATCAGGTACCATACCACCCGAGGTGCAAGAAGTTGGGAATTACGCATTTGTGTTTTGCAGATGACCTGCTTGTCTTCTCCAATGGTTCAGTGAGGGTTGTTGCAGGGATTCGGCGGGTACTGGAGGAATTCTACCATCTCTCGGGTCTTAAATGTAATCCAGAGAAGAGTCAGCTCTTCTGTGCGGGTATTTCTGATGAGGAGAAGGAGTTTATATCGCAATGCACAGGTTTCCCACTTGCTCGTCTTCCGGGTCGCTACTTGGGTGTCCCCTTAATATCGGGCAAACTTAGTAAGCTTGACTGTCAGATTTTGATTGACAAGATTACTGCTCGGGTTAGGGGTTGGCAGGCGAGAACTCTAAGCTATGCGGGGCGTGTTCAACTGATTTCTTCTGTCATATCGAGTGTCCTACAATTCTGGATGAATGTTTTTATATTGCCGGTTGCTATTTTGAAGGAAGTGGAGCGGATATGTAATAACTTCTTGTGGGGGGTAGGTGAGGGAAGTAGCCGTCTCAAAGCACCAGCCTCTTGGTCGTTTGCAGTTATGCTCAAGTCAGAAGGTGGCCTCGGTATTAAGGACTTTAGAGTTTGGAACAAGGCTTGTGTCATCCGGCATTTGTGGGCGATTCTTGCTTGTAGTGGCTCTATTTGGGTAGCGTGGATACGTACTTATAGACTCAAGGCCAAGACACTATGGGAGGTTTCAGCTACTTCTGTAGGGTCATGGGTTTGGAGGAAGATATTGAAGCTCAGGGCCATTGCGGGGAGATTTATTTCTGGTGCTGCTGACTCACTTATGTGGGATGACAAACCTATGAAACGCTATTCGGTTTCCACAGTCTGGCGCAGTATTAGGGAGGCTCACCCCCAGGTGGGTTGGACGGAGTTAGTTTGGGGTAAGTTTCTTATTCCGAAATATAGTGTCTTGGAGTGGATGATTGTGCATGGTTATGCACCCATCAATAACCAAATCTGGACCCTTCATTTAGAAAATCCAGATCTAAGGATGGAGAATTAAAGACTATTTTTATTTTCACTAGTTTTCTTAATTGACTCATATCTTTTTCGTTTTAACTCGGATTTTAATTTTTTTTGCACAGATGGAACGAGTTCATCGTGCTCTACAAAATGAGATCAATTTTCAATATTTTTTGAGGAAAAAAAATTCTGGCCTCTCGGTACCAACTGCATACCATATGGTATTTTCTTCGTTTTTCATTCGTTTTTGAAAACGTTTGCACAGCAGGGACGAGTTCATCATGATCTATTGGATCTACAAATTTCTGGGTGAACAAATTACGAGACCAAAAAATACCACACAATACCATACAATACCACCCTGGTACGGGGTGGTATTTTATGGTATTTTATGGTATACAATGTTAAAAGTCGTAAATGACAATTAATATACTTCTACTATCATGTATTCAATCATCCTACAGTCTTGGTTTGTTCATACCACCATGGTATGCTTTTGAACCCATAGGTATGCTCTTATTTCAATACCAGTCAATACCATATGGTATAGACTGGTAAAAAATGGCTCAATTTTTTTTTGTTCGAAAAATATATAAAAGTGGATATCATTTTGAAGAGCACAATTAATCTGATCTAACTGTGCAAAAAAAATTAAATTTCGACTTAAAACGAGTGAGAAATCGTCCGTCAAAGATTAAGGAGGGGAAAATTAAAGGCTTTCCAGGAGAGAGAGGATGCTGATGTCATGCTGATGTGGGCGGGTTACTCATAGTTACTCACCATAAAGTTACTGACCTGATCCATTCCCTGTGCAAAACAAGATTACCACGGCGGATAAGCTAATCAGATGGGGGAAGTCTTTACCTGGTATCTGTGTTTTGTGCCCGGGAGGGATGGAGGATAGGGATCACCTGTTTGGGAGTTGTTCGTTCTTTCAATTCTTACTGCATGCTGTATTCTCTGAAGCGCCCTCTGTTGGGTTGGTTGACTGGAGTTCTACCATGGCTTGGGCGGCACGCTCGTGGACTGGAAGCTCGGATCGTGTTCGGGTTGGGCGTTTGTTGTGGAGGTTGGTATTGGGGCATGTATGGAAGGAGCGGTGTCGTCGATGGTATGGAGAAGGTGGAATTTGTACGCCTCATCAACTCTTGTCTCGTATCAGTTTTGAAATCTATTGTATAGGATCTTTGAATCCGCAGATTATACCACATATAGAGAGTTTCTTTCATAGTTATAGAGGTTGAGAAAGTTTTGAGGTGATATATTGGTTGTACAGACTGGTTTTTTTTTAGAGGATCCCACGTTATTGGGAATCCTGGAGCTTAATGAGAATTTTTGATTACATAAAAAAAAAAATTTGTTTTCATGTCATTTGCTAAAAATGGGCCCTTTTTCGTTCTTTTAATTAATTGTTTTGATTTATTATTTTTTTTAATCGAAAGAGAAAAAAATTCAGAAATAAAAAAAATAATTTTTTATGTCCTCAAAGCTGACGTGGTAGGTGAGGTGGACATTGACTAACGGTCAATAGGTTTGACCGTCTAATTTGACGGTCAAACCCGCCTCCAGGCCAAATGAGGAAGTTTGCTACATAGTTCAGGCCAGAATATCAATTTCCAATATCACGGGCCAAAGTAGAAAGTATGTGTATAGTTCAGGCCAAACTGAGGTATTAACCCTAAAAAATAGGCCTAATGCCAGAAAAGGACCCATAGTTTTGGATTTGGGTCACTTGTACCCCTATGTTTATACTGCGTCACTTATGTCCCAAAGTTTAGAGTCCGTTAACTTATTCCGTTATTTTTGACGGTCAACCATTGACCGACGACATATCAATAAAAAATAATTATTATTTGCCAAATCATTACAGAATTACTAAGGTAAAAGTAAGTAAAGTAAAAAAGAAAATTAAAAGTGGCATGGGGTTTCAATTTCATCGACCCCAATTCTCTACTTTCCGCCTTCGAGAAAAGCTCCCCAACCCTAGTCGCCGCCAGCCAGAATATTCACCGCCGACCATCCTCCTCGTCAATCCCTTCAGCCACCCATTCAAGCACCCCAAGCTCAAGCCCGGTCTTTCAATCCCTCCCATCCTCCTCTACTCCTCCGTTGCCGACAGTAGTGCTGCCATCCTTGAGAGGGACCAGATCCAGATCGAGCGCTAGGAAGGCATAACCAGATTGATCGAGCAAAACCGAGGTCGCGGCGCCGGAAAGCAAAAGCGATCTCGAGAAAAACCCACATCCACCGGCGGTTGTCGAAGATTATGCGGGAATCGTTGATGGCTAGATTGTCGGATCTTCACCGAAAACAGATCGTCTATTGAACCCATATCGGGCTTCTGGACCCATCATCGACGGGTATTTGCAAGAGGAGGAGGATCGCGGTGCGACGATAGTCGCTCGAAGGTTGCTCGTTCTGGGACGTTGAGCTCTATCCGGCAGCGGCGACTGTCACAAACAGAGAAGAGCGGGGGGTTGCTGAGATGGGGTGCGTCGCAGCGGAGGGAGATGCTGAGATGGGGGTGCGATTTCAGGGGACTGTGGGTTTTGGGGAGGGATGGGAAAAAGGCAGGAGGGTCGATGTAGAGAGCGGTGCTCGGTGATGGCGGGGGTGAATTTTTTCTTAAAAAAATTGTTTTTTGTCAAGCTGGTGACATGGCAGACACGTTGGTACAAAGTCAACAAAATATTGACAGACGTTTGGTTGACCGTTAAGTCTAACGGTCAACAAAATGTCAGAGGACTTTTTTGACATGAAGCTTTAAACTTTGGGACATAAGTGACGCGGTATAAACATAGGGGTTCAAGTGACCTAAACCCTAAACTATGGGCCTTTTTCTGGTATTAGGCCTAAAAAATATGAGATTTAACTATCTCTAAGTTTAAGTGATAATTATTATCACATCAAACTAGCAATGATTGTAATGTTTATGCATGAAATAAAATAAGTAATTATAAATCATACTAACAATCTCAACTAATCTATCACCAAAATCAAACAACCATTCATCATTTTGTTTTGTTGAAGTTTCCTATATAGAGATTTTGTCCACCTGTGTATTGTTTTGCCGTAGCTCAATTCAGTTTTGTATGACGAGGTACAATCAAGATGTGGTGTGCAGTGATATGATTGAGAACACTCAATTTATATACACGAAATTTTCAATTCCAAGTTCAACGCTCTTCACTAAAAAGTTAAATTTACAACTTACATAAATTTACTCCGGTGAAATTTTAAGTCAAAAAGTTTTACATATTAAATTGTGCTATATTAACTCGAATTTATTTATCGTATGATATCGTACCATCGCCCATCCGCCATCGGCATTCACTTTGACATAGAATTGTTTGGAATTATAAAAATTCGGATCATGATTCGTGAGCAGAATCCAGTCTCTCGTGTTCCACTCAATTTTATCCTATACATGTATCAGAATGAATATATCGTTAGTAGTATCGGGCCCCGCCATTAAAAACAAAAAGTGGCAGAAGCAACAAAAATGGAATCGGATTAATCAACAATCCTCTCTCCCCACGGATCAGCGAGAAAAAAAGCTGACGAGAATCGGAAACAAGACGAGCAGAAAAGAGAATTAGAACAGAGAGCAACCCCCAGATTCCATTTGCAGCACGCACCAAACAACAAAACGAAAGCGGCCCGGGGAGCAAAGTAAGGAAGAAGGAGAAAGCCCAAATGCCTTCCAGAGCGATCCTATCTTCTCCACCGCCGCCGCCACCGTTCTCTGACCACCACCACCACATTCCACGGCCAAGCTTCCTGCTGAAGAGCAGAATCCTGTTCCTGTCCCTCACCATCTCCGCCACCGCAGTCATCATCTTCACCATCCTATGCTTCCTCTACCACCTCTCCCGCTCCTTCCTCCACCACTACCACTACTTCCGCTCCCGCCGCCGCGCCCGCACCATCCCCTTCGACGACTCCCCTCTCGCCGCCGCCAAGCTCAAGCGCTTCACCTACTCCGACCTCAAGCTCGCCACCAACGACTTCCACGACTCCTCTGTCATCGGCCGCGGCGGCTCCGCCACCGTCTTCCGCGCCATCGCCCGGGACGGCAAGCTCTACGCAGTCAAGCGCCTCGACTCCGCCGCCCTCACCCTCAACTCCGAGCGCGAGTTCCAAAACGAGCTCCACATCCTCGGCGGCCTCAAATCCCCTTTCCTCGTCACCCTATTGGGCTACTGCGTCGAAAAAAAGCACCGATTGCTGGTCTACGAGTACATGCCCAACAAGAGCCTGCAGGAATGGCTGTTCGGCGAGGGCAATTTGGGGATGGAGGTTCTGACCTGGGAGAGGCGGTTCAGCGTGATTGCCGACGTGGCGAGAGCGCTCGAATTCCTCCACACGGGGTGCGACCCTCCCGTGATTCACGGCGACGTCAAGCCCAGCAATGTCCTCCTCGATTTCGACCTCCGGGCCAAGATTTCGGACTTCGGGTTGTCCCGGGTCAAAGGGGAACCCGGATTCGGGCCCGATTTGTTCACGAGCCAGGATTTCGGCAAGAGCCAGGAGCTTTCCGGTAATTTGACGCCGTTAGAGAGCAGTGCTGCGAACAACGAGGTTGTGGATTTCGCGCTGGCTCTGCAGGCTTCTTCGTCCTCGAGCAAGGGAGGTGGGTACGCCGTGAACGGAATGAAGTTCAACTCCGTCAGCTATAACGGGGTTTTTGCAGTGGAGACGGGGAAGGGAAAGGAGGTTTCTGCTGCGGCGGTGGCGGGGGAGAATGGCGGAGATGATGAGCATAGCAGGGAGCTCAATTGCAGCGTCGATCAGGAGAATCAGGATCAAGATCCGGCGGAGGAAAGCGGGAAGCAATGGGGGAAAGATTGGTGGTGGAGGCAAGACGGGAGTGGGGAACTGTGCAGCAAAGATTATGTGATGGAATGGATTGGCAGCCAAATTTGTCCTTCCACTAACCCTAATTGGGAAGACCACGCGGCGGCTGCAACTCCGGACGCTCCTCCTCCTCCACCTCCGTCGCCGCCAGCTACGACCGCGGCAGCTACTCGGTCGGATGGACTGGTGGAAGAGGAGAACTTTAAGGTCAAGAAGAACAAGAACAAGAAGAATCAGAACAGGACGATGAAGGAATGGTGGAGAGAAGAGCACTTGGAGGAAATGTGCAAGAAGGGGAGCAACAAATTGAAAGCCAATAATCATATTCAGTTCAAATGGAAGAAAGGGTTCAAGATTCATTTCCACCGTCGGAAGAAATCGATGGAGAAGAAGCAAGAACATCACTTTGAAACAGAGTTGAACGGAGGGGAGTTCAGTTTCAGGGGAGCGTGGAGGAAGAAGAAGATGAATCGTAATACGAATCAGAATGCCGCAAACGGAAGCGAAATGTGGAGCGGGGATTTGTTCAGCAGGGAACTGAGCAGCACAACCACGAGCATGAGAGGGACATTATGCTACGTTGCGCCGGAGTACAGCGGCGGCGAGAAATCCGATATATACAGCTTCGGAGTTCTGATTCTGGTGATAGTTTCAGGGAGAAGGCCGCTCCATGTTCTGGCTTCGCCGATGAAGCTAGAGAAGGCGAATTTGGTCAGCTGGTGCAGGCAATTGGCACAGTCTGGTGGGTTGGATAATGTGTTGGAGCTTGTGGATGAGAGGTTGAAGGGCGAGTACGATAAAGAGCAGGCGAGTTTGTGCATAAACTTGGCGCTGCTCTGCCTGCAGAAGATGCCGGAGCTGCGGCCGGATATTGGGGATATAGTGAGGATACTGAGAGGGGAGATGGAGGTTCCGCCGCTGCCGTTTGAGTTCTCTCCATCTCCACCTCCGCCTTCCAAGTTGTTCCACAAGTCGAGGAGAAAACAGAGGGCTAATGGCGATAACAACACTAGTACAGAGTAGTTGCTAAGAATTGGTGTGTAGATTGGCGTGAGGGATATTTCATTTGACCATTCTTGTATGTGTAAATTGAGAATTGTGTGTTGGATTTTTTGGGCTTTCCATTCCATCTTTTTCTCCAAAGTGTTTCGGTTCATCAAATGATTCATCGGTCTTTGTGGGTTGTAGCTATGATACAGAGGACACACCAGAGCAAAGATTCTGCATCTCCATTGTTGATGATGCTCAGCCTCTGCCTTCAGTTTGTAAGGTCGATCACCTTTCACATTTGGGTCATGTAGAAAATTTGTTACGGCCTAAGGCCGATAATGGACAGCTATTTTTCAATTAAGAAAAAGATTAAAGATGGTTACTTCAATGACTACAATTCCGACGTTGAAGGCTACGACTTAAATTTGAAGACGAAATAAGAAAAAATCTTATTCGTGCTATTACAACTATGACGTTGAAAGGAGCACTTCTACTATGCTCTAAAGTATGAGTGCTTTAATGTACAAATTGAAGTTGTACCATAACGTTAAATGTATAAATTTAGGTTGTACCATAAAGGAATTTGTATCCTTATGGTGCAACTTTACAACTTAAAGTTGTGTCATCACATAAATGTACAAGTTCAAGTTGTATCATGAAAGAATTTGTACAAAAGAGTATAAGTACAATCTAAAGTTGTACCATAATGTTAAATGTATAACTTCAAGTTATATCATAAATGCAAAAACCTATAGCACCAATGCTATATAGTATAATAAAATTTCTCCGTTAGAAAGTTGATAGTCTAGTATGAGTTACTCTAATTATGAAGTGCTACTATGGTTGTTACTACAAGCATACAACTACAAACAATAACTACTACAACTGCGAGTCTGCGACTATGACACTAACATCAATGTCTCCAACTCAAATCTTAAAACTCTTAATAGTTGGTCATTTCCTGCATCTAAATCATTATGCTAATAATCATTGGGATTCATCCTTCCTCCACCATGCATTGGGGATGTAGGGATCCTCTAATTGTTTAGCCATTCCATGGTCAGAATTGGAAAATTTCAAGGAACGTATGCACATACCACGAAGTCTTTACTGGCATCGGCATTCGGCAATGATAAGTAAAACATTTGTATAATTTGGAGGCAACAAAATTCAAACCCTCCATTTCTCAACTAAACACGCTGTGGCTGTCCTTTTCAGGAAAGCGTTTTCAAATGATATTTGAAAGGATCCATGTCAAGCTTTCTGGATTACGTTTCGTTAATGCTAAAAAGAGGGGATTATGTTTCGGCTTTGTCTTTATTTTTTTCTTTCTTTATCAGTTTAGTACCCATCTTTTTATATTTCACGATTTGATACATTAATTTTAAAATTTTAACATAAAATATCATTGAAAAATTATATTTTGGTACCTAACCTTTTTTCTTATGATAATTTAGTTTCCAAATTTTTTCAAAAAGTTATTCGGATTCAAAAAAATCGCTACGATCGGATACCCAAGTGCAAAGTTACGTTCATTTGAAGTTTTGGCCGAAGTTAGGAGTTGATGAAAAAAAAAAAATGGACCAAACCGCCCCTTAGCCCAGCGGTTTTCACTTTTCATAGAAAACCGCGCCCCCGCCCAGCGGTTTTCGTGTAAACCGCAGGGTGGGGTGGCGGTTTTTGAAAAAGGGTGGTATTTTTGGAATTTTTTCGGGTTGGATGGTATTTTTGGAATTCTTTTTTTAAACAGTGGTACTTTTGGATTTTTTTCCCTTCTTTCTTGGGGATTAACACCAACAAAGTTTCATTAACAACACCACTTTCCAAATTTATGGTAAAAGATAGGTGGGTAATCGTCTTTTCAAGGTGCTTTGAATCCTCCCATGCTTTTTATTGTCGCCCATGTTTCCTCCCGTGTGATCCCTGATTGCAGGCGATCCTTTGTGTCCTTCTAAATTGTTTTGAAGGTTGTCGGCAGCTTGGCCGCTAGGCCGAACTCTACTCGGAAGAGGGTAGCATAGAAATCTCTAGCCAACTTGCAAAGATAATCTTCCTCAAAAACCAAATTTCCTTGGTCGTCTTTAAGGCCACATATATGATTGAAACTCCTCCTCTTGAACGTGGATAGGTGGTAGTAACACATATTTCTATCGCCTTCTGCCATCCACTAACAACTGGATTTTTGAAACCAGAAAAGGTGTTCTTGCCATAGAGTGGATCCAAGCTCATGACTTACTTCCTTTTATTTAGCCTCGGAGTAAGGGGTGCCACCCCTCTCATTTTCTTCCTCCAATCTTCGCAGTTTCCACACAAGTAGTCTCTTGCGATGGAGAATATGGCCAAAGGTTTTCCTGTTCCAGACCTGCAACTCGGTGGTGAGAGCCTTTGAGGACTGATTGAAATTCTCTCCCTACGACCAGTGATCCTTGAGAACTCGACCAAAGTCATGGGCTAGCCAGGCCTACAAGAAGCAGAAGGGTTTGTGCCCTGAGTTGGTAGTCTGTGCATCCCCCATCAAGAGAATTGACCTATGGTCGGAACCCACCTTCTTAAGATGGCGCGTTATCGTCTGCGGGTGTCTTGTCATCTATTGCTTATTGCAAAGAGCTCTATCAAGGCGCTGGTGGAGAGCCCCTTGCGCCATGTGAAGCTAATGTCTAATAATGGGGAGGTGCTTTGTTGGATCCGCCCTTCTTCAAGGGTCCTTTACCCAACATTGGGGAAGTAGTAGATTGGAGTCCGAGTCCATTGCTTACTACATGTACCACTTGTCGGATAGGGACTTCAACCAGGCCTTTTAGTGGTATGATTTTCTCATGCCTAGCGACAATCATAGGCTTGGTCGACAACTCGAGAGTCAGTCCTCTAGTATCGACCAGTTGTCCACTCGATGAGGAGGATGGAACACCAATTGAAAAGGTAGTAGCCGCCGTGAATTGCTTCTCTGGTACAATTATCGAAGCACTAGGAATGGCCTGTGCATGTTTCCCACCTGTTGCTTCCTCCTCCTCCATTGGTGACAAATCCTCATGACTATTGCTGTGAAACGGGACCCTGTCGGCTACATGGCGTTCTTCCCATGTAAATTCGAGACTAGCCGTTCCTCTACATGAGCAGTCTTTGTGTCTGATTGTTTGTTCTTTGGTTTCACCATAATCTATTCTCCTATGACTTCTTCTATTGGTCAGCTGGTGGAGGTGTGGGTAATCTTACCTCTGGAGACTCCATGGGTGTTTTCCTCAGCATCGGGCATGTGGTTTTTGAGTGTCCATATACCCCACACTTATTTGTAAGACATTGTGGAGTCCCTCGTATTCCACGTAGTATGTTCCTCCCACGATTTTGAACTATCATAGAAGAGGTTTCATTAGGTCTATCTTCATGCAAACTAGGTCGAACTTGGTCTTAGCTCTCGGGGTCGTTGTTCGGTTTAATGAACTCGGTCGATCCGCAAAGCTATTCTTTCAACAGCTGCACGATTAATGAATTCTACTGGTAACTCTCGCAGACGAGCCCACACAAGGGTAGTAGCTACCTCCGCAAATTTTGGATTGAAACTCTTCCTCCATGGCCTCAAGTGATATAGTGATTACGAATTGTTGGGGGTGTACGAATGAGAAGGCCTCGATATGTGGGTGAGGCCCATTAAGAGGCATGGGGTCCAAATAGTCTGAGGAAAGCTGAGCTCGCTTAAGACGAGTGAGCCGTGATTGGCGCCCATGGGTTTAGATCGGAACAGCAAGTTGACCTGAGCGAGTACTTGCGCGTTAGGCGCCTAGGGTGCGCTTGGGAGTTGTGCGCATCTGAAGAGGGCGCCCGAAATCACCTTCGGAGGGAGCGCCCGGAATCACTCGCATTAAATGTAAGGGTGACGTGGAAATCCGTACAGGAAGGTCCAGGTAAGCAATGATCGGCTATAAATAGCGAGGTTGGTAAGCATTTACTCAATTTGGCTTCTCTCACTAAAATCTTGCATTAAAAGCACTTCTCTCACTAAGAAAGATACTGACTTGAGCGTTGGAGGACTAACGGGCCACAAGGCCCACCTCTGTGAGTGCAGGCCTAATCGCGAAGGAGTCGGCTGGTACGAAAGGGAAGAGGGAAGATCGAGTGGGCATCAACAATTGGCGCGCCAGGAAGGGGGGAACGCAACCAGAGGTGCGCCTAGTTCCAATGGAAGAGGGTGGAAGTGAGATTGAGGAGCAAGTCATGGGGGAGGCGTCTCAAGAAGCAGGAGGACGAACGCCTAGCCTGGGGGAGGATGAAGGAAGTGAAGGCCCGCGCCCGGGTTCGGATGAAGCCTCGGTGACTAAGAAGGAACTGTTCAAAATCATAGCCGATCAGGATGAGGCCATCGGGATGTTGAGGAGAGAGGTGGAAATGCTGAAAGAGGGTGCCCCAAGCCCCGGGGCAAGGAAGAGGGAGCGTACGATGGAGGCAGAAGGGGAGTCCAGCTCACTTAGGCGCCTAGCCAGCATGAGGCGCCTGGCCGACTACGGAGATTCCGAGGGGGAGAGGAATGTGTGGATGCAGGGGCGCCTGCCTCGACAGTTTGTGGTAAGGCAGCCTTTGGCCAGGAGCATGCTCATGGAGCCCGCCAGTACCAACATTCCACCGCTTCCCACCTATGATGGTACGGCGGACCCGGATGACCACCTTAACAGCTACTTCACCAAAATGCAGCTGTACAACAGTTCGGACGCGACTTTATGCAAGGTGTTCCCCTCAACGTTCTCGGGCGTGGTACTAGATTGGTACCATCAGATCGAGGAGGGGCGCATAGAATGCTTTGAGCAATTCGCGGCGATGTTCCTGGAAAAATTTGCAAGTAGAAAGAGGCGCACACTGACCGTAGGCTCCCTGTTCAAGATCAAGCAGAAGGAGGGGGAAACTTTGAGGGAGTTCTATGAGCGGTGGATCCCGGTGGCCATGGCAGTGAGAGACGTGCAACCCCCGGTGCTCGGGGTCCTCCTTGAGGAGTGCACCACCAGTGAGGAGCTTTGTCGGGCGCTAGCTAAAAGGGATGTAGTGTC